TCAACTGCATATATTTTATGTTTTAATGGATGAAACAGCTATTCTTACTTATATGGCAAATTCAAAAGGGGACACTGTTGTGTCCTGAGCCTGCAAGAGCTGAAAGCAGGCTCAGAATTGTTGCAAATGGTCCCGGGCAATCCAAAAGCTGCCCGGGACCAGACAGAGTGACGCCAGACTTGTGCGCATGCGCAAGGCGCGAAAATGGTCAATTCCTATTGGTTCACACTGTCCGGGTTTCAGTTACTATAAAAGGCCTGCGTGCCTTTTGCTGTTTGCTTGGTTGTAGGAGAGAGAAATAAAGAGCTTATTGTTCTCACCATGTGTCTTCGTCAATTGCCAACGATCTGAAAACACAACAGACACTATAATAGTATTTTATGCTACCTTGCCTCTTAGAATCAGCACATTTTCTGTAATCCTTTCTTCATTCTAATACTGCACTTTGATGATGACAACAAGTGTTTCATCCACACTTCTCATTCATATCTGAAATTTATTTAGTTATTCTTCAAGAAGCCACAACTTCTTCTAGAACTAACATAAACCATTTTGGCTTAGCAGCTACCAAGTCATAAAACAGGATGGAGGATTTTCCATTTAATAGTGCACAATATGTAAATTTACCTATTATAATTTATATTATATGCAAATCATATATCAATGTTTTTATACAAAATATTGCTTTTAAAAATTTCTAGCTTGGAATGATGTCTATATTAAAAAGATTGGAAAAGGTCAACCATAGGGAAGAAAGCTGTTTCATGCTAGATGGCCAGGAAACATAATAATTTTTAAAAAAATTTGTGCAAAGTAGACTGTACAGTTGCTGGTCAATGGTGATAGAGTGAGAGAAGTTAATACAGGTAGTCCTTAATTATTATCAAATTGGGACCATACTTTCTGTTGCTAAGCAAAGCAGTTAAGTAAATTGTAATCAACTTTATAATCTTTTATGCCATGGTTGCTAAGCAAATCACCATAGTTGTTAAGTGAATTATGTAGCTGTTTAAGCAAATCTGGCTTCCTTCATTGATTTTGCTTGTCAGAAGCTGGCTGGGAAGGTTGCAAATGATGATCACATGACCCCAGAAGACTGCAAACCACCCCAAATACATGCCAGGTGTCAATTTTGATCATGTGGGGATTCTGCAATGGTCATAAATGGGAAATCCAGTTGTTAGTCATGTTTTCAAATGTGATTTTAACTTCAAATGGTGACTAAATGAATGGTTAGTCAAACAGAACTAAAAGCCATGGATAGAAAGATCAGAACAATAATGACAATGAATCACACCCTTTATCCTTTCAGCAATGTTGACAGACAGTTTTTACCAAGGAAACTAGGTGGGCGTGGAATGTTGCAAATATATCAGAAAGTTAAAGAAGAAAAAAAGGCATTGGAAGAATATCTGAAGTACAGCGAGTAAGATGCACTGAAGCTAGTATACATGGAAAGCTTACTGAGTACTGCAGAGACCAAACTGAAAGACAAAAAAGACCACATGAAGAATAGAAAAGAGACATAGCAAGGCAAATTATTAAATGGCTAGTACATAAAAAATATCAGGCAAAGCAGATAACAAGACCTGGCAATGGTAACAGCAGGAAAATTGAAGGATGCGGGGCTGCACAAGACCAAGCCTTAAGTACAAATGCATGCAAAGCCAAAATTGAGAGGACAGCAACAGGCAGCAAATGCAGCTTCTGCAAAGAAGCTGAAGAAACAGTGGACACCTGGATAGTGGACACTAGTACCTAGAGACAGTAGAAGTGAAAGAATTGGACAAAACACAAAATATAAAGACCTGCAAATAGAAGTACAATGACAGTGGCAAAAGAAAGCAAAGATAGAAGCAATAGTAACAGGTACCTGGGTGCAATTCTAAAACATCTGGAGCACCACTTGAATAACATCAGCATTGACAAAATTTCTATCAGTCAATTGCAAAGAACAGCTTTACTTGGAACAGCTTATATCTTGTGATGATATCATCGACGTCCTAAGCAATATCTGTCTATCTGTACTTCTTGGGCGGATAAAAATGGCAAATCCAGTGTGCAACCAACCATAACAGAAGTAGGATTCTGTTGTATTTTCCCGTTCTGATTCTCCAAGCATAACAATGATAATATTCTCACTTTTTTTTTCAAGAAACTGAGGAAGAAACATGGAACTTTTTCTATACAATCATTTCTTTTCATGACACAAAATTCTAGGTTGCTAACATAGTTATATTTTAACTTCATTGACTTCAGGGATAACATATCAAGAAACTTTAGATGCCTATTCACCTGTCATGGCACACCTACTAAGCTCCTGCACAGTCAATCCATCCATCTTTGTGTATTGGCACTGTCACGCTATTATGGATGACTTGTCAACTGGAATCATAATATCTGGACAATTCCAGTCAATAGACACACAGCTGGAAGAGTGGGTTGGATTCAAGAAGAATGAAAATCCCTGGGTTCTGCAAATGGCACTGCAATACATTTTTTTTTAAAATTCAGTGGTATGATCAGTATGAGCTGTATCCAGTCACACCCTTTTCACTCTATGTGGCACTGAGCTAACTGAAAACAAAAAGGCTTTTTGTAGCTGCATATTTCTGAGTTTAGGATTCTGTTTTGATCATGGCTGTTGATGACAGTAAAGCCCCATTCAGTACTTTGCCCAATACGAGGGTGGTGGATTTAACTGATTGGGGGAGTTGGTTTAGCTGCAAACAATACTATTTCTGAGAGTTAAATGAGATTAATCTGGATTAATGAGGGGGTGTATTTTAGAATGTGAGTGACATGCTTATCTCACTCCCCATTATCATGTTGATAGCATATTGGGCAAACAGGAACATGCTGGGTCAAATTAATAGGTGTCTATGGAAATTTGGATATGCAGAGAAGACTTGATGTTGTGTTTTCTGGCTTTGGAGAAAAGCACACTTGCTGCAGTTGAATTGTTTTGCTTCTGATTTTTAGCCAGATGTGAGTGCAGCTGAAGTGGAAACAGCTGTCAACAGGCCATTATAGAAAATAAGCACTGCTGTTTAGTCTAATACCGCCACTTAGATGCCAACGTTTGTTCAGCAATCTGGAGATGAATGAGTTAAAGGGTTCATAGTGGTCATCTGTCAGATATTTCTCAGTACACGATGATACTGAATGATATACCTGACAAAAGGCCAATGGACACAGCTGGGAATAGAAGACATACAATAAAAATGAACTACATTGAGAGCTTTTTGTTTAGTCAGCAAGAAAAAGAATAAACACATAGAATATACAGCTCATTTATACAGGAAGGATGGTGACTAGTTATTTGAGCAAGCTCTGAAAGATATGCTGCAGACTACTGAGCTGCAGCTTTTGAGGACATGAAGAAAGATGTTACTATGCTGCAGAACTCCTATAAAAGAGATACTGTTAATAGAAAGGGATGAAATAGTAAATTGTAAAGATGTGTTACTGTGTTTGCTTTCATTAGTCTATATGTTAGAGAAAATTAATGAAAAGGACTTTGAAGAGCATCTAGTTCAACCATCTGCCCAATGCAGGAATTTTCTATTACAGCAGGGGTGTCAAACTGCTGGCTCGCAGACTGGTTGCAACATATGGAGGCCACGCCCACCCCAGCTCCCGCAATGTAAAAAAGTCACGAAGTGTTGCAACATCATGTGATGTGGCGAGTTTGATACCAGTGTATTACAGCATCCCCACAAATACGTTTCACTGCTCCTTCTTTACACACACACAAAATCTGTTTCATTGTATATCTAACTGTCTGTCTGTCTGTCTGTCTGTCTGTCTGTCTGTCTATCTATCTATCTATCTATCTATCTATCTATCTATCTATCTATCTATCTATCTATCTGTGTTTTCAGGGTGTCTTTAAAATACAGTACCTGAGAAAGCTATCATGTCTTCCTCTAGTTTTCTCTTCTTGAGGTCAAACATTCAATGCCTTAACAATTCCTCATGAATTTTTCTTAAAGGATCCCTTATCATCACTCCAGTTTTCAATTTCTTCAAAATCCTGCCTTGCCTTTTCTAAGTGTGGTATTATAAATGCAGGATAGAGATTTACCTTGATCTTTGCAGTATACTTCCTGAGATTGCATTTATTTTTACAGCTACATAACTTGACTTAGGCTCAGCTTGTGATCCACCAAGATGTGCAGATCTTTTTTTTTTTTTTGCATGTATTGCTTCCCATTCTATATCCTTGCCTCAGATTTTTCCTAATAAGGAATAAAGAGATACTTTGTAATTTCTTACTAAAATGTTGGTCAGCTTGAAAACCCAATCTTTTCCAGGAAGAAATCCATAATCTTTAAAGTGTGATAATGCAGGAGATAACCAGTAATGGGGAAATGTATTCTTCACATCAAGGACAAAGCTTTTCCTTTCTTTCTCCCAGGCCAAACTCAAAACTATATACCGTGCTTGAAGCTAGATTAGGGTTGATCAATGATTTTACTAATTTCTAATGAAGAAGACCTTGTCATTGGCTTTGGTTACTTGACACCCCACACCATTTTCTCTGACTGGCCTAGGTCCCTAGGAGAATCTGGCTTAGACCGAACGCTGCGCCCCCAGAGGCGTAAATTCGGGAGCAAGAGGAAGTGGCTGAGCTTTCCGTGGTCCTTATTTAGGCTTGGAAACTATCGGAGCTTTCTAAAAGTACCAAACCCCAAATCTTTGCGTTGCTGCAGTACGCAGAGAAGATGCCCAAGCGACGAAGTAAACCCAGCAATGTTTACACCGCTTTCTTTCCCAGCTTCAGAAGATAGGCTTCATAAAACTGTCTCACGTAGGCGGGCGTCTTCTGACAAGGACGCGTGCCTAAAGCGGACCGCACAATTTGCGCTCGCTTCGAAAGGAAACAGAACGTTGAGGTTCCTTCCAAAGGAGCGTCTATTTCCCCTCCCGCCTCTCCTTCCTCATGAATATTCACGCTTCTCCTCCCAGTGACGTTGCAGCAGTCCCGCGGTGAAAGCTGGAGAGCTGCTCCGGTCTGGCAGTACAGCCTGCGAATGACTGAGCAGCAGCGGCAGCCGCAGTAGTAGCAGTAGTAATAATAATAATAATTGCAGACGCCGCCACAGCTCTTCTGGCTGCTTGTTTGCTCTCGGCTCTTCCGCTGTCGCCAGCCTCGAATAGGCTGAGAGAGCGCATCTCCGAGACGCTTCTAAAGGACGGCTGCTGCTGCTGCTGCTGCTGCAAAAATAGTCCCCCGAAAATAAAGCACGTTCTGTTGCTCGGAGGGGTGGAGAGGATGAAGCAATGCCGAGAGTGGGCGCTGCTCTTCTTGGGGATCGGCAGCCTCCTCGCCACCAAAGGTAGGTGAAGTTTTTTTTGTTTTTTGTTTAAAGGGGAAAAGCAGGCAAGCTACGCAGGTGTAAGGGGCGCCGCCTCGTTTGTATTTGCGCGAGAGCCGCGGGGACAACTCTTCCAGTCACTAAAGGCGGCGACGCCGGGGGTGGGAGGCGGAGTTGTTGTGTCTGCCTGGCTTGGGCTTTGGGGCTTCTCGATGCTGTATAATATCGCACCGTCGTGGGGTTTTAACGAGGCGGGCTAGTTTTTGGTTTTCCCAAATTGTTTCGAGGGAGTCTTCTGCGCGCTCCCAGAACTGAGAGAAAGAGGTTCCTGGCTATTCACCCCTATTGTGGGCGATGGAGGAGGTTGTTCAGGGCAGGGAGAGAAAAGGGAAAAGGGACTTGCACGACGTGACTCAGTCTTGTAGATTTTGAGAGCCTTCGAAAGTTTGAGGTGTCATGTGGGAAGCGGGTGGAGCTTTAAGGATGAATTGGGTATGCGTGCTGCACTGCCATGGTTGGGTTGCTATTTAGCGCCTGGGAAGATTAAGCATCTGGAACGCGGCTCACCTTCAAGACCTATGCACCGAGGGATGCTCGCTTCTTGTGGTTTCGACCGATGACTTTGCTGCCGATGGTAGTAAATTTACGCTGTGAGAAGATTGAAGGCAACAAACTAGGAGTAAAATGGTTCTTTGCCTCGTAGAAGTTAATTTATACCGAGAAGATCGTATTGGCTGGGTGATATTACCTGTGACATTTTTCAAAAGGAGCACCTGAAGATTTTTGTTTAAATATATAACTTGTTGCATATGTGAAGTTTAAAATATCTCTTGGTGTCTGTTTAAATTTTATAGCAAATAAATGCATTTATTTATTTGCAGGGATTGATCAGTTACAGAACACTTTGGTACTTCATTGTTTCTAATTCAAGGTAAAGCCCGTTGAGGCATTTTGTGGAAGTTTTGATACCCATTCCTTTAAAAGAAAGCCATTCTTCAGAATATACTGGGTTGAGAAAAAAGTCATAGTTTCTGCAGCATAAAGCTCTTTGGATAATCCCTGGAGACTTCCTGTATTCCCTATATAATGAAACACCCAATTCATAGATTTATTTAGATGTTATTATTTTCTGCTTTTGATACTACTAAATTTGCTTATGAGAACTGCTAATCATCTTGACATCTATGAATTGCTTTGATTCGTAGCTGTTATTTGACATCCTTTTCTCTAGTTGCATTTTTGCTATGAAGTGCAGGTGGTCTTCAACTTAGCAACAGAAATTTTAAGGCTTAATTGTGATTTAAGCGAGACAGTTGTTAGATGAATTTTGCTCCATTTTACAATCTTTCTTGCCAAAGTTAAGTGAATCACTGCAGTTAAGTTAGTAATACGATTATTAAGTGAAGCTGGCCTCCTCATCGACTTTGCTTGTCAGAAGATTGCAAAAGTGATCAAATGAATCTGGGATACTACAAGCATCTGAATTTTGATCATGTGACCATGGGGACACTGCAGTGGTTATAAGTATAAAAATGCTCATAAATCACTTTTTCCATTATAACTTTGAACGATCACTAAATAAACTGTTGCAAGTCGAGGACTATCTATAACTGCAAGACATCAACTATTCTGGGATAAGCAAAAAAGGAAAAAGAGTTGATTTGAAGATATTTTCTTGTATGAAATTGTTGGGTTTTGAAAAATAAAGTTTATATTCATCACTGTCATCCAGAGGTAACATTTACAAGACACTGAAGACTTAAAAACCAAAATATTTAACATTAAAAGGTCAGCTTGATTTACTGTTAGTCAAACTTTATGTAATTTCCATGAAGTTTGAGCTGATCATAAATATCAGTGGTGGTGGGGATATGTTGAAAATTACTCTTATTGCTGGGTATCCATGTATTGTTCATCCTTAAAACAAATCCCATTCCTTTGAGTTTCTCTGGCATATTCTTGAATTTGGTTCATAAGCATTTGAAAAATATTACAACAATTCAACCCCTGGCACATCTGAATTATATCAAGAGTTCCAAATTCTGCTTTACCACAGGAGGGCTGCAGAGTGCATCTTTTGACTTCAACAATTTTACATGTTCAATATTTGATATGAAAAGGTTTTTTTTAAAAAAAACTTTATAAAAATATAGAAAATCCAATTAAGTTTTAAAGTCCTTTTTGATATTGGATATTTTAATATGAGGTTCTGCAGCTAGCATCATCTCTGACTCCTGTTGCTTTTGCTGTATTTGTATATAGTTGAAAAGTGAATGATTTTGTATTACAATGCATTATTTCACAAGGGAATGGCTTAATGTTAAAAAAAGACATCAGGCATCCTTAGGTGAAAATCAAGTAGGCACTATACTTCAGTTTCTTAGTAATTCCTATGAAATAAGACCTATGAGTAGAGAGTTGCATCTAGAAAGCTTTAAAACCATAGTGCCAAACTCCATAGTTAATATTTCACATTATGCCAAACTCCATGGTTAATGTTTCACATTATTTAGAGAACAAATAAAAATGGAAAAGGTATCTTCAACATTTTGACAGTGAATTTCAGGAATTGCTGCACCAAGATAAACTACCATGATAAGCTCATATGATATACCAAATCTGAGGCTACCTATTTAAAAGAAAACACAAAGAACTCTATACATGGATAAAATAATGCTATTATATGCAAAGATTTATAATAATGTAGCAAATGTCGAGAAAATTAAGTTATTGTTAAAATATATCTACTTCAGTAACCTATTTTTTCTATAGATCTCAATCTTTTTGTCTTTTACTTTAATATGTCTTTTAATCCCCCCCCCCAAGTTGAATATGTTTGGTGTTCTGTAGTAGGACACTGCAAACTTCTGGATTTGAGAGTTTAAATATGATTTGGGACATATATTGAGAACTATAAAAAAAAAGACTTCAGAAAAATTAAGTTCCTGACTCTTATGTTCCTGCACATATACAGTTATTTTTCTGCACATACTTTTTGTGTAGAACAAATAACTATTTTTACTCCAGAGATGTGCAGCCTTGTGATATGAACACTGTTCTTTGTTTTGAATTATGCTGCAAGAAAGCTTCTAGGATGTACTGAACAATGGAGAACACAATGATACAATGTATCAGCCTCCAAGGTGGCTTAAATATTTGGGGTCATATATTGAATAAAATACCTATTAAAGTATTGTTTATTATTTTAACCTGTGTCTGCCTTTGCTATTTATGCACACTTGAACATGAATTAGCCCATTTCAGGATGAAAGCCTTTTCACTAAAGCTTACATTTTGTTATCTATCATGCTCATCTAGAGGAGGTTAGTAGGCAGGTGTTTTTCAACTTCTTTGTTTCCTGCTGAGAAAGAATTGCTGGTTTACAAACAACCAGCCTGCTTGTGTGCCCAAGGGAGATTTATAATTTGGGTTTCAACTCCTAGTCCAGCATCTTAATCACATTTATGGTCATGTTTACGTTCTGTGTGTGTTTACATAGATAAGCTTTAGTAACAATCTTGATTGGAAATCTATTTTTTTCTGTAAAACTGTAAAACAATGCAGTTTAAAATTATGCATTTTTAAAATCAATAACTTTAGTATTGAAACAAATGACATTTAATCTAGGTATATATACTTTGCCCCTTAACTCTACATTATTGGAAATCAGCATAGATATAATATCTATAGATTATTTTTATTAATTGCTACTTCATAATAGAGACAATATTAAACAGAGAAATAAATGCATTCAAGTATTAATTTAGCAATTGCCCAGGCTAAGAATGCTAATAAACTAGAAGGGGATAGAAGAGAGGAGAAGAGAAGAGAGCTGTGCAGTTTTGTGAAGATGGATATTCCAGTTGAGCCATCTCCTCCCATTTTAGATTCTGAAACTATTCATCCTCTCTGTCCAGATTTTTAGAAAGAGCTTTATTTTCACAAATATTGGATACAAGCTCTGCCTGATTGAATTGGATCACTTTATTTTGTATATTGTTTGATAGATTTCTGTAACACTTCAGCCTGGATCCATCTAAAAAGTCCCTTGACATGGATCAGATAGTTACCAGCAAACAAATCCACTTTAATGCTTACCTGAACTCAATTTCATTTATAAAATATTTTAAAAGTGCTGCCTACCTGGGTATTAGCATGTCATAAATTTTGGCTGTTCAAAAATGCTGAGCAGGATCATTTGCATGAAGGACCACTTTGGAGAACCAGAGCTACTTTATATTTTTATTTAAACAGATATGACATAATCAAAAGCATCCTACAATTATGAGTTTAACAGTGTATAATTGTCAAAATTTATTTTCAGTATATAATGCATATTTTAATATACACTTAAGTTTAGCTTTTCCCCCTATTTATATTAATTTCTGCCTTACTACCGTAATCAGTGTTTTCATGCTTACCACTTGTCTTGTTTTATTCTGGTTGCTGAAAAGGATCGGATCAACTTCGTATTCTGCATTGCTCCAGAAAAGTAAGGACTACTTGTGAAAACATATCCACTTTTCTAAAGGAAGCTTCCCCCCCCCCCAATATTACTTTGGCTTTCTCACCACTATAATGCAGCTCTCTATAAGGTCAAAGAACAAAAATATCTTTTAATCTAGGGAGATGGAAAATGTTCAAGTGTTCCTAGGAGGCAGTATTTAAAATGCTTCAGAGTTTTCAACATAGAGAACAATGGGAATTTGAAAAAGCCTATTTGTCTCTTAATTTTATTATATTGATGCAAAAATAAAGTGGAATGATAATCCATACTAACTCTCATTAACATCCAGCCTTCAGAAAAGTTTGCCAGGGAATCATTTCCAAAACACAACAAACAACATAATAGTAGGAAAAATGCATATTTCTGATTGACTCAAGGCTTCTTAATGCATCATGCTTTCATTTATTAGTCAATCAATTCTTAATAGTTCATATTTTTTCACTTTTTGCACTTCCTCACATTCAGAAATTTCAACTGAAATTGTATAAATAAAACACAATACACAGGAAAACCT